CTAATGAGAGAATTAAACAAGCACATAAAATAGAAATAAAAATATAAAATAGTTGATACCAACAGAACAAGCTGTAGCTATCTAACAATCTCAAGTCAGTTGAGATAAACTATAGAGGTGAAAAACATGTAGAGGTCTCATACCTTAAGGACTGTGGGTGTGGGCAAATCAATAGCATCCATGCCATCTCCCATGTAAGAACATATAAGTGAAAAGGCTGCACGGTCATAAAATGTGTCCTTTCTCGTTATCAAAAAGGAAGATGTCAAAAAATCCTGCGTTGATGCTACTAAAATTTCTCCATTTTTTGGGGTGCATAAATTGTTTTGTACCTGAAATACCAATCAAGGAAGAAGTAAATAATCAACCAGAAGGGAAAATATCAACCAGATAATTAGTCCTGTCAACAGTTATACAGACGAGTATAACTGTAGCTATCTAACGACAAACACAACTTAGATGAAAAAATTTCCTCTCTTTAACTCTATCATCCCTTCTGTCCATCAAGATCGTTCATATACACATTACAAATAAAGTTTTTCAAACATTTTTAAACTCAGAATTCCCTCAACTACAGAATCTAAATTGCTTTGGAAAGCCTAAAGGTTCAGTTGATTTAGTTGAAAATCATTGGTGGAATTTGTTAAGTAAGACTCCATCTCATAATCATCTGCTACTTATGTATGTGTGCATTAATATGAGCATAAAGAGTGTTAAATGTAACCAACGTATAATTGACTACCCCTAAGAAACTTAATATGATGCTAAGTAAAAGAGCAAGTACCCCCATTAATGTAATAGCCTCTGTCCGAGCCTCCTCTGTTTGTGGTACATGCATGTTCATCTCATCACCATCGAAATCAGCATTATATGGGTTACAAACCGATTCATTGAACCTCAACGTTCTCCAAGGCATTATTCTTGCCTACAGGACAACAAATGTAAAATTAGGATTAGGATTAGTATGAGAGCAAAAAATTATAGACATTCTAAAGCATAGGATTAGGACTAAGCATTCTAAAGCAGTACTGACCCTGTGACACATGATAGACATTCGATGCAGACTTGGCTGCCTGTTAAAAAGAACAGCATCCCCTTCTTCCAAATGGCGGTCAACTATGCACCCAATGGCCAGTTCATCAGCAATACGCTTGCGATAATCACCAACCAAAGCCCTGAAATGAAATGTGTTAATGCCCCCATATGATGACCCAATCACATGCAAATGACCCTATGACGAGTCCTTCAGTGGTATCAGGTAACTTCAGTTCAGTAATAATGTAACTATTTTCTTGAAACAAGTCTCAATGGTTTGACTTGGCTTCATTAAGAGGAAAAATTGTTACTTGCACATTTTCATTTCTACCTATATACCATGAACAAAACCTATACACGAGTCAACATAGATTTACAATTTCACATAATTTTACAGAATCTGAAGATCACTTCAACTGAGAAAACTAGCTATCTAGATATATTAACTCATCAAGATCAGTTTCCTCCCCTTTAAAAGTATGCATCAACCAAGAAGTAACAAAGCTAGGACACAACATTACCTTGAAGAACCATCCGGATATCTGACATTTCTGGCACCAGGGTATTTATTAGGGCCATTACGGACACATTGTCTTAACTTCTCAATATTATGACGGGAAACACATTCAGGAAAAGTTAAGATCCGAGCCATAAGGATGGGAATTCCTACCTGAAAAGTTTAGTTACCTCTGTGATAAGTTAAACCAAAAATATAAACAAAAAGCAAAAATTTAACACCATTTATGAAAAGATACCTCTGTAATTTTCAGATTGGGATCAGGTGAAATAACAGTTCTACCAGTGTACTCGACACGCTTTCCTGACAAGTTTGCACGGAAACGTCCCTGTTTTCCTTTGAGACGCTGAAGAATTCCACTCATTGGTTTGCTGTCTGGCTGGTTTTGAACACCACGGACTTCACTGTTAATGTATTTTGCAACCTCGCTTTGTACTGTATCCCACACTTGCTAAAAAGAAATCCTCAAAAAATAAGTAAGAAGAAAATGATATAACAAGAAATAGTAATATAAGAAAAGTTAATAAAAGGGTAAACCAAGAAAACATTTCGAAGTAAGATTTAACAAAAACAGAGACAAACTTTACAGCACCAAATGCATTAATACACAAATATAACAGGGATGCAATAATGCAATAGATAACTCATCGTACCATGTTTTTCGCCGAAGTGGTAGGTTGACTTAAAATTCTATGAAGTGAAGCATTGTCTTGAATGATTTGCTTTAATCGCGCTGATAAATCATTTTCATTACTGCAGCAAGAAAACACGCTCTTTCAAGAAAACCAGCAGTAAAAAGTATAATTGACATGAGAAAGATCAAAATGATAGCTTACCTTTGGGAGCCACCAACCATAACAGATGGTCGGATTGATAAAGGTGGCACAAGCATGCACGTTATGATAAGATTCTCAGGTCTGTGGGCAATATAAAGAAGTTCACAGTCCTGTAATAATAAATAAGAAAATCCCTTTATACTAATGCATATGTTCTGCGAGCAAAAGAACATACTGCAGGAAACTATGTAGAAAAACATGTGCATTATAGATATAAACTCAAATATACCTTGTCACTCATTCCTTTAAAAAGCCCAAGCACCACGTTAGGATCAAGAACATATGTAAGAGGATTTATTGCTTGAGTAGACTCCTTTATGTGGGATATTGCAGCTTTAAATTCATCAACCTCTCCACCATGAATTTTAGATCGGTCATGACTGATACCTATACCCATCTGGGCTGGAATCTTTTTCACCATACCTGCAATAATCAATAGATTATCATAACTGAAATATATATATGTATATATAACTGAACTGGGTAGGAAGAAGCACTTTCAAGAACATAGCATAAATTAGAATATAACATAATTTGAGATTAACCAATAACAACAATTAAAGGATTTTGGCACTGGAAATCAGAATGACAAAAAAAAAAATCCCAAGTTCTCTGCTTGTGCAACTTAAGATTCGTTAGAATGTTCTGTGAGCTAAATTTTGCAACTAAGATGAAACACATGAAGAATGAGAAAATATATCAAGGTTATAAACATCTTCGAAATAGCATATCGAATCTAATTGGTTTCAGTCAAAAAATAGTTCAAAAGTATACCATTCAGGTAGCCACATTTTTTGCACGTTATAATTCTCTGGCTAGCCATCGTACTGCACTTCTTGACAACCGCTTTTGCCAATTCAGTCTTCTTCAATGGCTCCATTTTGGGATTCCGCATCTTCCTCAAGTGATCTTCATACAATTTCTCGTCCAAAAGCATGTTCGAACAGCACTGCGGTAAAAGAAAGGAGAAAAACAATATTTGTGAACTACGGTTGATGCTACAAAGACAGTGAAATAACCAGCCAGTTTTGTTATGAAAATTAGGTATTGTCTGCATTTCGAAAGGGATCTTCCCTAGAAATAATTTTTCTATAATGTACTTTTCTTTACTGTTTCCATTCAACAAAAATAAAAGGGTCGAGAACAGAAACTAGAGAGATATAATTGGCTAACTCTGTTACCTTACAAATGCATTTCAATATGTCGAGGATAAAATTGAAGTATCCAATGTTGTAAACTGGGAGGTCAAGCTTCAGATATCCATAGTGTCCTGGACAATTTTGGAAGTTCCCCTCACAGGTTGTGCATATAGACTTTTTGTTTGGAGGACCCTGCCCAATCATAATGAACAAACCACTTAGAGAATGGTTAGAATTACATATACAGATACAAATAACTGGTTATATGCATAAAAAGTTAAACCAAAAGAAACACATATATAAGAGAGTCGGATACCATTCGAGGATCCAACAAGCCGCCTTCAAAGGGTTTACAATTGGGATCGTAGTAACTATTCTTCCAGACCTGAACTTCAGCGGCTTTCATGACCTCAAGATCAGAAAGCATAGAGAAGTTTATGCTTTTTCTGCAGAGATAATAGTTAAGTCAAAAGCGGAGCAGGAAAAAACAGCAGAAACTGACAAGCAAGTTTTGCTCCACAAAATCAATAATGTCAAACCATAAAAGTCAGACATTCATAAACAACACCCAAAGGCATTCATTTGTATCAAAGTAAGATCATCATAAGCTAAATCTACAGAAGACCATACAAAAAGAGAATCATGAAAGTAAATCAGAGAAAACGTCAGCTAAGAAACTCTTTAACTGGTAAACAGTCATCTCAATTGACATAAGAATTCAGACACCCAAATCAAAATTTCATGAGCTTCAAAATCAACATACAAACAGTAGCAAAAGAGACGATTTTTAGGCACATTGAGTATTATGATCCAACTGCTGAAAGGAGCGTAGTTGGGAAAATTATATCAATGGAGTGGTTTAACTTGAGGAGAAAAGTGAAAGAACATACATCTTAAGAGAACCAACATCTTCGATGTAAGGCTTCTTAGTGTATTCAATTTCCATCTTCGTCTCCATCTCTCCAATCAAAAAGCTGCAAACTTTTTACACAGGGGGAAACCAAAAAGCCCGAATAAGTTCGAATCGACGTCAGAGAAGAAGAAGCAAAAACAAAACAAACTCGGGATCAATCGGAAAAATCAACAACTTACGGTGAGAAAGACGAGGATGGAGGAAGGTGGGTTTAGGGTTTAAAGACAAGCAGCAGAAGTAGTAACAGGCGGGAGATACAGAGAGCAATGGAGCACTGAGCAAGAGTGAAGGGGCAAAAAAAAACCTAGTTTAAGCTTCGAACCTGCGACCTTCAACTTCTTAACCTAGAGCTCTTTACCACGGAGGTATTAATCCTAATCATTGATTTTGTCGCGAGTACTTGTATATATACAAATATTGTTCAGCTTGACCAGAAAAGGAAAATACAAAACCTTAGAAAAAGGAAAATTACTGGTTTTGAAAAAAAAAAAACAATTCGTAGAAAACATAACAAGGAGAAGTTCGTAATTTTTGTTTTCATTCGTGTATATTTTGAAAGTACTGTACTAAACTTTGGGGAGAAATTGCCCTAATTTGAGCAGAGGGAGAGAGGCGCGGCGATCTTCGAGCTTGCTTCTTTCCGATGAAGACCGTGACCGGAAGAGTTATTTGTGCTGAACCAATCTCCCTCTCCAAGGCGGCTACGCTTCTCTCTGGATTCACTTCTTCTGATAATGGCGCCTCTCAGGACGTTAGTGCGTACCTCCAACGAGCCTCCGCTGCCTTTTCTCAATTAAAGAGTTTCCACAGGGAGATTAAATCGAAGGGTACGAAGCCAAGCTCCGAAACGAGGCGTGAGAGGAATTTCACCGGCGAATTCGATGGTGAGAAGGTTCCTGACCGGAAAAGTGAATCTATGACTGAGGAATCAGTTTATAGTAGGGAACAGGAGGATAAGGAGAAGACTAAAAAAAAGAAGAAGAAGAAGAACACAGACAAAGATGTTACTGATGAGAAGGTAAAGGATAAGTTGGAAGAGGAGGAAATGGGCGGAGAGAGAAAGAAGGAGAAGAAGAAAAAGAAGAACAAAGACAAAGATGTTATTGATGAGAAGGTGAAGGATAAGTTGGAAGACGAGGAGATGAGCGAAGAGAGAAAAAAGAAGAAGAAGAAGAAGAAGATGAAGGCTGAGGAAGAGTTGGCTTCAGAGGAGAAAAAGAGCAAGAAAAAAAGGAAGAGTGGTGAAGGGATGGATTCAGAGGAGAGCAAGAGCAAAAAAAAGAGGAAATTGTAGGAGATTGAATTGATGGTTAAAGCTGGTTAATTTGGGGTTTTAGCTCAAGGTTGGGGAAATTTTTGTAGTGGGAATGAACAAATCTTTCAAATTTTGGTTAAAATGTAGTTGAAGATGTTACTTGGTGGCAATTAAGATTGAGAAAGATTTTATTTTTGGAATTCTCTTCTTAGTTTTGGTTGTCTGATTCAAGTTTTTGTTGTTTTGGTAGTGTGATGCTACCTTATTATCTTTGACTATATTTCGAAGATGCTTGTTTGCAAAGTTTTGGCATTAGCATTCACTTAAATCAACTTATTGCAGCTGTAAAATAAACTAGAAATGCTATATGTGAAACTCAATTTTGTTTAGGAATTGAAAGTATAGGAAGTCTGCACAATTGCGAGGCACTTGAAGTTTTCTGAAGAAGGATTTCCACGTCCTGTTCAACTAAACTAGTGCAAGTACAGATGATCCTCAATCGTCAGGTACGTAAATCTTACATGCTATTTGTCAGTTACAAATGTGCCTATGGTTCCTGAGAGTTTCACTTAGACTTTGTACTGCTCCGAAGGTCTTTTAATAGAAAACTAGACTAGGAAACTTGGGATAAATGTACAGAACCGTTTTGACTGTAGAGCCATATTTCATCATAAATATCTACACATAAATACAATGTGCACATGTCATATGTGGATGTTGCATCATAGTTTATATGAACCATCTGATTCAAATGATTTGTGTATATCTTCAGCAGTTAGTTGCTTCAGAGATTGTGGTAATAACAATCGAAGGTAAGGTCAATATATGCAAATTAGATTGTGTATATATATTAATCTGGGGTTTACATAGATCTACACTTACAGAAAACAGAGCTGTGCAACAGAAAATAATTGTAAAGAAATTGACCTCATGTCAAATTATTGAACAGGAATTGACCTCATGTCAAACCGATAAATGGCCGGGGAAAAAACGAAAAAAATGCACGAAAAAAGAGACAACAAACAAAATGGAAAGCACTTGAATCATGAAGCAAGAATTCTCAGCATTTGGGCAAGTCTGCTGGAGGAGGAAGAAGTTTCTGATCAGGCTTATCTCCATCAAGAACAAGCCAAGCCATCCTCAGACCCCAACTGGTATGTACTTCCAAGTGACAGTGCATGAACCACACTCCTGTGAAATATTTTGTAAACTTGGTTATTATTATTCATCTTAGATTACGCTAATGTAAAGTTGTGTTTCTTTGGTTTGTTATTGTTTCTCTTACCTGGGTTATCTGCAAGGAATCGAATAGCAGCCCATCCACCGGATGGCACACCGATTGTGTTCCGCTCTATTGGGTCAACAAGGTTGAAGTTTTTAGGATCCTTGTTAGGGTCAAAATTTCCAAAGCCTTGACCAACGACGAAGAAGTTGAACCCATGAAGGTGGAGAGGATGGCTTTCAGCACCTAGAATGCTAGTGTCTTGCATCACCAACTCCACACTGGTGTTATAAGGTAGAACCATCAAGTTTGTCCCGTTGCTTACATTGGTATTGTTTGGTGGAGTGCCTGTGTAGTTAAACGGAACAATGGGACTCCATGGGAATTTGGGGGAATACACTCCATGAGATTGGCCAGAATAGTGAGATTGAAGGAGAGCTTTTGTTGGCATTGTGAAGGAAATGTTACTGATTGAGGCAGCAAACATTGTGGTGTTAGTAGGTCCCTGGCATGTCTGGTTATTCTTATGATTGCACGGGTTTGTTCCCAATCCTACTGTGAAGAAGAACTTTCGATCAACATTCAGAGGCACATTTGCTGGGAAGTTTTTGCTGTTCAGACTGCGTAGCTTATTGCTGAACTTAGTAGCAAAATTTGTATCGTTTAGAGCAGGGAGTGTCGGTCTGAAGAGTTGAAGATTCTTGATAGAGGCCCTTGAGTGAGCATCTTTGATATGTTTAGATGGTTCATATTCTAAGATTCCAGCAACTGTAGAGTTATCGAAAGTTCCTTGACCTGTGACGTATGGTCTAGCAAACATGAAGAAAGAGGCACTCGGGTAACTAGGTTTCGTCTTCAGCAGGACGTTTGTGGTCTGGCCAGGAGCAATTAAGATGGTATCCGTCTCAAATGGCTTTACATATATTGCATCCGCTTCAACAACCGTAACCGTGTGATTTGCGATGCTAAAAAAGAGCTCGTCATTAAGTGCAGCATTGATTAGCCTGAGAAGGTATGTTTTTCCTGGCTTCACTCTCAGTCTGAATGTATCTGTTTTACATCATTGGTTAAGTTGATTAGTGGGCTATAATTTATTAAACCATAATTAGATATAGGAAGTAATAATTACCTTTGGCAGAGCAGTTATATAATGGACCAGGAAGCCCATTGATTGTGTAAGCATCAGAGACATTAGGACCTCCTCCTGTTTGTGTTGCTTGGCGGATGATTGCCTCAGGGTCTGCGTTGAACCACTCCCCTGCAAGTTAACCATAAAAAATCAGCTATTATGTTTATAAACTCTCATCAGATTCTCAGTCTGCTTCTATTCCTCATCATCCTTACCAAAGATCATGGGAACTTCTTTGTGAGGTTTAGCAAACGGGTAAGGAACACCGCGTTTGGGAAGGATGATAAGTGGACCATAGACTGTTGCTCTTAGCCATGAAATGTGAGCATGATAAAACAGGGTGCCTCTTTGACCAACAATGGTATAGTTGTAGACATAGCTTTGTCCTGTCTGAATAGGACATTGGGTTATATAGGCTGGTCCATCAGCCCAACCACTTCGTAGTTGTCGGATCCCATGCCTGCGATTTTTCACGGATTAAAGCCAGCTATGAGTAATCAACCGTTACTCTGAATAATGATACAAGTGGTTTGAAGATTATTTACCAGTGGATAGAGATGTTGTTTGGCACTTGATTAATGACTTTGATCAGAAGCTGGTCACCTTCTCTAGCAATAAGCTTAGGTCCTGGAAACTGCCCGTTTACAGAAACAAGGCTCTTTGTGTGGCAAAGACGTGTCACGTTCTGCATTTTGATCTGCGAAAACGTAACAATATTCAATCATTATTTGCATTCCCATTTAAACTACTACACAGAAGAAACAAATCCTTCACATACTTCCAGCGTATAATGCCTTGTAATCCCAAATGCAGGTAGAGGAAGAAGGAGAACACAAGAGAAAATAGCTAAGAGAAGCTGAAACGCCATTTGAGTGAGCTTTGGACCCCGAGGCTTTGATTATAGCAAGTAAGTTTTACTGAATACTCTGCCTCGGTTATTTGTTTATGTATTTGCTGTAGATTGTGGATTCATTGTTTCAACATTTAGTGTATATATAGGAAGGAGAGTTAGGTGTTTGCTTGAGCAAGAGAGCTAGAAAAAACAATTAGTAAATGTTTTGGAAAAAAACAAAAAGATAATTGGTAGAGAAGTACTCCCTGTAATCAGAAACACTTGATATTGACAAGTTGTTAGATTATGTATGAACAGCTAATGTATGAGTGGTGTCAAAGATAAGTCAAACTCTTTGACCCTCTTCAATTCCTCGAAAACTATTGTTTCCTTCTCGATACTATGGCGTAGATTCTAAATATGAAATGTAAAATTGCCAATTTTAGTTTCTCAGATATGACAGTTCCTCTTCCTGTGCTGCATCTTTGACAGCTTTGAGTATATTAGACTTCAAATTTTTGACATGAGAAAGTAAGTGACTTGGACTAAATGTGGCAGTTTAGGAATATCGTTTTGGCTAAATTTTGCTTAGACCCAAAACACAACTCTACGTACGAACATCAAAATTTTACGCACTCTTGGATTTTCTTGGAAGGGGTAACTTTTGTGATTATAGTGGTTATGTTTTAGTAAATTACATTTCAGTTTCATCATTTAATAAGCATGTTATAAGTGATAAGTACTTCATCTCTGTTTGTTAATTATTTTAATTTATTTTATTTGTAGGTGAGGAACTTTTTAAAGGAGATTTAACCGATGTGGAGTTGGTCAAAACATTCGTAAGCTAAAATTGCTTGGGGTATAAGCAAGGAGAGGGAGATTGTAGCTATCAAAGAAGGTCACGATTAGGGTTAGATATCAAAATCCATGAAGGCAATTTCCAATATATTTTTTCCTTCTTTTTAATATATTAGAACATTGAGGAAACCTCAAATTAAGGTTGGCTATTTTATTTCCCAAGCAAGTGACCTAACTCCCTTTTATGTTCGTATCCTCAAAGGCATGCCACTTATACATGTTTCTCTATACTTATATACATATTTACACAACTTTATACTCATATTCTTATTTATTGAACTTTTTAAAACACATTATATTCTTATAATTATGTTTATTAATCAATAAGTTTATGTGTAACTTTAGCTTTAACCAAATAAAAAAAGTATATAATATGTGTATTTGCAAATTGTTGGCTCGATCTCCTCTTTCAAATATATAATTTTGAGAAATATAAAGTCAAAATATGATCTAGACAGGTTGCTAACAAGTACGTATCAACTTATCCCGTCAAATATAGTTTTCATATAATTTTTTGTTAAAAAGGTTATAAAGAAATGTTGAAACTAAAGAAAATAATCGGACGACGACATAATGATGAAACATGAGTTTAGATCATTAGTATGTAGTTCAAACCATTTGTAGTTTTTACAATTATGTCTTTAACAACATTTTAGTTGGTAACTCACAATCATTAACAGTAAATATAGTTATAGATAGATATTCATTTTAAAGTTTTTAACTAGGCTGCATGTGACACGAGAGCTATATTTAGAAACAGGTTAATTCCGTGTTATTATCTCCCATGTTATTATTTGAAAACGAAATTCTGATATCTCTTAACGGTTTTTTCGACAATAATTATAGAATTACACTAAACTAAAAACATATATATATGACCTTTTACGTATTTATCTAATCCTGATCAGACCAATTTCAACGAACTCTAGTCTAGAGAAACTATCTAAATGTCTTAAACTTACCATTTAATTAAAAAATTTAAAAAAGAATATTTGATCTAGATACGCGTAGAAAGTGGGTTCTTTATACTGAATACATACGCGTAGCTAAGATATACACATAAATACATGATTGGTATGTGAAGAGATCGAGGTTTATTAGATTGGAGGACTTGTGCGAAAACATGTTTTTTTCTTATTTAATTTTTTGACATACATATTGTGGTTACACCAACCCTTGATTTCTGATTAAGGCTCCAACAAAATATATATAGTATAATGTGTGCACGTATGTATACATATATAGAACGTATCATATACGAATATATATGTACAAATTTGAGCGGACTGTTACTAGCCACCTTTTAGGCGAATATATAAAGATGGTGATAATTACATAAAAATTCTCTAAAATCTTAAGAGTTCGACGTACGTAACAGATCATATATGCATGTTTGATGTTCCATATGATAACTGTAATTAATTAACCACGCGCTCATCGTTATTATAGCTTATTTAAAATTTGATATTTGTAATGCCTATGCATGTACTAATCTATATCATATGTCCTATATTATTTAACATTTTCTCTTTTCTGTTTGGTAAACTGATATGAAATAATGTGGAAGAGAATCATAGGGTAATAATTTTATTAAATAATTAATAGAATTTTAGTTTTCTTAATTTTTTTTTTTTTAGAATTTTAGTTTTCTCTGACAATAAATATCTTAAGAGTGAAAAGTAATTTTGTATTGTGTATATATCCACCAACAAATAGAGGCAACCAGAAAACTAAAAAATATTACTAGCAATTATATCATTAAGCCATATATTTGTACAAAAATAATCAACATTCTTTTTATTAACCTTTGAACAGAAATGATCAATGATGATTATTAAGATGCTTTACCTTAAGTGCCAAAGATTAGCCAATCTTTAATAACGTGAAAAAAGAAAAAGCAGAGTATAAGTACACCTAAAGGAAATCAACAGGAATGTAATATGATTAATTCTACGCAACATGGATTTTTTTTTTAAGGAATGCAATTTTCGGGAAATAAATTATCATCTATCTAATTGAATAAATCTTTAGAAAATCGTGTAGAATCCATGTTATATGAAAAATATCAATAATGTGGAAAGTTCCATGATTTAGCCATGCGTACGAAAGGTCCAAAACTAACAATTGCTTAACAAGTTAGACTCTTTTGTACACTTCGTTATCATATTACCTACTCTACTCCACTTCCATTAGGAATAAGGATAAAATTTGGTCTTTCCATACACTTATCTGATTTAGGAGAAAGAATCTAAAAAACGAATTTTAGAAAGCATAAAAGTGTTTGTTCATTAATTTGGGAAATTTTCTCAATTTCAAAATTTTTGACAAAGACAAAATAACAGTCACAAGTTCACAAAACTTTACAAATATAGAAACTGTTCTAAACAATTGTAGCAAAGATTTTCATCACAAAAGTATATATACAAGAAACTCCGTCAAAATAAACATTAGTACTTTAAGATTTTCTTAATTTAAATGTTACTATACAATTTCTTACGTCGTTAAATTACTTTACATTGTCTCACCAACTAATTACATCCTGCATATATGGTCTTTAATAAATTTACTCCCAATCTGATTAAGGATTAAGCAAAATCTGTTTTTTAAAGATTAAATTGGTTAATTAGAAGTTTTCCTTGTGGAAAGTAAAACGAGTGGATGACTCGAGACTAAACTCCTGACAAAGTTCTTTTAGTGGTCGAACCAATGTTGGACTTCCACAGTAGAATACACCTGAAAATACACATGTTAAGAATTATTTTATGAAGGTTATAAACCAAATACTTGAAGTAATAATGTTTTTCAAGTTGATAATAATTAATTATTTAAGATAGTAAGTACCTATTCGACAAGCTTCGTGTTTGCTTGACAATTCAGAAAAAACCTTCCTCCAATTAGGTCTTGCGAAATGTGTTCGTATCTGATTTGTTTCGGGGGATAATTAAGAGTAATTAATCATCTAATTGAGATACACGTAACTGATCATTAGCTAATGACATTCCCTTCTAAGTTTTTTTTTTTTTTTTTGACATCAAAGTAAAAATGATTTTATGTATGTTTTCTTACACTGAAATCGAAAGTGGACAACGGTCATATAACTGTTTGGTAATCAATCGAAAAAAATCAGAAAACTTACTCGGCTTTCGGAGACGATATCCACACCGTTCTTGGCATGTTGAAGTTTCTGAACCATGGCGATTAAGGCAGATCTTGCATCTCCCGCTTCGTACATGCTTGTTAAGTAGTTATGCATTTCTATCACATGCTGCCAAAAACAAAAAAACATTACAATTTTTTTGTTTTATACGACAGAGCAATTCATAAGCCCCATTATGGAAAGAAAAAAACAATAATGTAGTAAAACTGAATCAAATAAACTTACAGTTTTATCATACTCGGCGATGTCATCCATAACTCCCTTGAACCAATCAAAAGAAGCTTGTTCTCTTGTCACCCAAAAAAAGTATGCTCTTTGTGGAAACTTCTTGCCTCCACCACTAACACTATCACCTCCTATACTCTCTCCTCCTATACTTGCATCGTACTTTTGTCCCTGTTGTTCCAATATTTTAAAAATTGTTCCACTAACACTATCACCTCCTAATGAACAAAACATTTATCCTACTTACACTTTTGGGAATCCCGGGCTTTAGATGGTTTAACATGTCTTTCAAGATGCTTATGAATGGAGTTGCCCCAATCCCTAGTCCTACTAGTAAGAGGATGTCGAACTTCTGATAATTTTGTGCCGGAGCTCCATATGGTCCTTTGATGAAAATTTTAGGGAATCTGATACAAAAAAATAAAAATAAAATTGATTACCTGATCAGGATCATTTAAAAAAAAAATTTTCGACAGCAATCAGATCGAATTTAAGAATTTACTGGCAGTTCTTTAGTATTCACTTACAAGACTTGTGACTCTTCAATGTGAGGATTCACACCCGCTGCTCTTGTTTCCATCCTCATAAGACTGTTTGGTTTAGGTTTAGCTGCTGCTTGAGGTGGCTCGCATGTCTACAATCAAAGTTAAACACTTTACCTTTAGAATTAAAATTTCATATAATTAACATGAGATATAAAAATAAAATAAAAGTCAGCTATAACGAAAATTATTTAATTAGGCAAATAAAGAGAGACAACGATCACCTTTGCAAATCTGCTCCTAAGTTCAGTAGTCCAATCTCCTAAAGCTCTTATGTGAACACTTAAATAGTCATCCCCTGGTGCGGAAGTAATGGAGAACGGATGCCTAAATAATAAGGAAGATAAATTCAATATTATTGTTTACCTTATCAAAAAAACAATCATTTAATTTATTTTACTAAATAATTAATTAGGATACCATTCGAATTTTGACAGATCAGGACACTTGACAAACATGTACATGCCACTTTTGTATTTGAATCCGGGAGGTTTGGTCACGTAAAGTGCAAGAACATTACCCGAATATACAATAGCCTGTGATGAAAGGCAAAACAATTAAAAACAAATAAATATATATAGGAACAGAAAACACTCAAATGTATAAATTACTTTAGAAAATGTTAATAGTGTAGTCAATGTTCATTTTGTTTGCTACCTTAATAACGTTGACACGATGGCTGTGTTCTTGAAGGACACGAGAGAAAAGCCTCTCACTCGCGTAGAACAGCATCGGTACTGCCACATACATCCATGTCTGCATTATAATATAATTTACCAAAAAGATAAAATTAGAACATATTAATATATTATCTTAGCATTAAATATGGAAATTTTAACGTAATTACCGTCTTTTGGTACCAAGGCTTCTCGATGATTAGATAGTAACCATGGATGATGAGAAGAATATAAGCAAGAACCAACAAATGATGAGCATACCAAAACGCATTAAAACCAGCAAGAACGTTGAACGGTTTAGGCAATTTCACTATGTTCCTTCTAAAATAATGCATCGCGAGTGTAAACGAGAATCCCATGAAGAAAATCATTAAAACACCCGTGATCGACACGGACGTCATCATTAAACCTATGTAACTCGGTTGCGTAGTTCCCAAGGCAGATCCCGCATACGTCAAGAACACGTCATAGGAGCAAGAGCTTAACCTAGGGTAGTTACAGAAGATGTGAAGTGCAGTGTGGAGCAAAGCGTGGAACGCGATCGCATATGCAATCACCTTGTGGAAGTTAATGTTGTCGTCGAATGGGACAACGCGGTTCAAAAACGTTGACCTAAGGATCGTTAGGGTTTTTCTACAGACTGGTACCAAGATCAGAGCCATGTTCAGTTTAAGCGTTTCGGCTGCTCCTTTAGCGGCGCAAACACAGCGTCCGGTGATATTGTAAAGAGGGTTTCTCGTGAACTCTTCGTACTTCCACATGAATAGATAAACGTTGATGATGAGCCACAAGGCGAGTACCCATATTTTTTTCCAGTTCTCATGCATCAGTTCCGCGGTTACCGAAACGTATTTTCTCATCGGTGTTCTGTACCGCTCTGGGATCATGGCGCGTGTCAGCGTTTGCGATTTCTTCATCTTCTCCGTATCGGCGTTTGTCACCATTCCTGTTAATAGTATTTCTAACTGCCACATCTGGAAGATACAAACAATGAAATTTTTCAGAACATAATTACTCTCTGGATAATATAATAAAGAAAGCTATCATATAAAAGTTGAAATAAAATGTGAACCTCTATGTATCCTTTGTGATCAGGGTCGAGTTCTTCCATGATCAAAGACGCGTAAGCTGCAGCGTTCTTTTTCAAATTCCCGAGGCGGTTCGCAGAGGCACTCAAAACTATGACCTCTTTCACTTCCTCTTCCGTGAGCTTACCATCTCCGTTCTTGTCACACCTGAACAGCAACCACAACCACGATAGTTAAACTAAGTAACCGCCTTTGGATTTTTTTTTTTGTTTATGTAATATATGAAAACGTATAAGATTAAATAATTTACATGTCGAAGAAAATTTGAAGACGACAATCAAGGTCTTTCTTGATCATGTCTTCCCAAAACAGCTTGAGTTGTTCTTTATCGATTCCAGTGTCTGTCTCTATTTGTCTTCTACGACCCAATGCCTCATAAACTTCTCCAGCAAATTCCATTGTGTCTCCCATTCCTAGTAATATATTCACCATCGACGTTAAAATTTCTTTCTAAGCAAACAGTAATAATAAAACAAATTCGAGTTCATAGAGGTATACAAAAATAATAATAATAATTAAAAAAAAATTCGTCGCTAAGTACATCTGTATTATCAACTATAGAAAAGCGAAACTAATCACACGTTCTCACGTATAATATGTGGAACCCTATATAGAAAGTATTAGTATATATGTTAAGTACCAATGCAGACACCAAACTTCTCTTTCGGCAACTTGCCGTCAACGGAGAACTGATTAAACCGGTTCTCAATCGATCTCCAAGCATCTCGTTCCCGTCCGGTGACTGTCCGATCAAGGAACCGTAAGCTCTGAAGTCCCCTAGCGGCGCTAGATGTTGTCCTCTCCACTCTTTGTGGACCTGTCTTCTTGGGCAGAACACTGGTCGGAGGACCCAGGTTCCCGCTTTTCCTTGTGCTCGGAGACGCGAGATTACCGCTCTTTCTCCAGTTTGAAACGCTTAACGTTCGTATTATCGATCCCACACCAAGATTTCTTGACGCGTTCTTCTTCAGACCACCTTCGTTCTTGTTGAGGTTAATGTCGGGTCCTTTGGAAGAACCTTCCCCCATTGAATCGATCTCTACACTCTCTAACATCCATTTTGTCGAATCTTCGGTAGTAGTGTTATTTTTCATAGTAGTTTTACTTATTCTTTCTCCGGCACCGATAATTTGATCGAAGGATCGTCGGCAATCTTATAACTCTATCTTGTTTTCTCTTGGATCGTTTTGTTTTGTTTTTGATTTCCTCTTTTCTTTTTTTTTTTCTTTTTTTTTGTGTGGTTTGAAGGGATTATTAGATGAGGAGAAAAAATAGGGGGAGAGGCATTGATTTTAGTGTTGTTTGTAACATTTTTGTTTAGTTTATTTAGTTGGTAAGCGAGACACATGAAAATTTTACTAAAAATAGGAAGTTCTAAGGAAAGCATTTTTTTGAGGTCAAACACACACAGACCAATCAAAGACCTATAAAAAGAATGAAATCTCTGAATTTGACTTAGTGCTACTACAAAGCTCATGTTATTAAATTAAAATTAATCCGGGGAGGTGCGGTCTATATAGAATTTGCAAAGTATGTTTCCAAGTAATTACTAATACTTTTTTTACTTGAGAAATATATTAATTGTAACGGTTGACGAAAACAAGCAAGTGCTCGCAAAACTGTTTTGGAGTTTATATCTCTGCCCTAGAAGAGGCTACAAGCCGAACAGTACATAGCAGTTCTAAAAGCTATTTATCATGGGGCTCCAGTGATCAGAGGTGACAGTCACACTGGGCTGCCAATTTAGATCAGTCCTTGGCGCTCTAGCTGGATGGGCGCTTAGGGCATCCTCAATGGGGTATCTTAGAAAGCTAAGATACCTCCACTTTTTCAAAGAAAATCCTTATATTACATATTTTCTTTGAAAAAGTGGGGGTATTTTAGCCTTCTAAGATACCCCCATTGAGGATGGTCTTAGGAAAATACTGTAATGAAAGTGAGATTTGAATACTAATAATTGGACCAACCTGAAGTGTTTTAGCTTTTGGGCCTATATGGGCTTCTGATAGGCCAATACTGAACTCGTTTTATTTCGTAGCAGACCAGACAAATCTCCAATCGTAACAGAATAATGAATATAGTCATCATACTACGGCCATTAATCATCTGCGAATAACGTATAGTGAGATTTTACGACAAAGATAAAACGTAATGAATACTTAAAAAATCGAAGATCCATTTCCAATCAAAATCATGGACATTCTTATGATGGTCTCGATCATGACCATGATGCTCTTTTCTACGTCGGAACCCACACGTGCAGCCACACTTATCGTGTCCAACGAGCTGCAGACGCGTGGTGATGTTCCCGTGTTTGTCACGTGCCATCCGACCCCTCTGCTGTACAAACTGGTGCCATTGGGTCAAAAGTTGTTGATAGAAATCCCAACCACTGCTGGTGGCGACAACGCCGTCGATGATAAGAAGGCAGCGGGATCTAAAGTGTGGCAGCCAACGACTTGCCTAGGAACGTTTTACAGCGAAGCACATTTCGAGAGGCACGAGAGACCGTACGTCTTGTACGATTCGGACAAAGATGCTACGGAGTGTAAAAACTCGTGTTTCGTCGTTGTCAAAGACGATGGATTTTATCGTTGGAACAACAACAAGAGGATCTGGGACAAAGTTTTTCCGATCATTTGGTATTAGTAACTCATTTTATCTGTATATTAATTAACATTTTCGGGTTCGTTTCAAAGGATATAATTTAATCTAATAGTTTGTCAACATTTTGGTTCATCAATTTTGTTGTTCAAAGACTTAGAACAACTCTGCAAAATTATAAAGCGTTATGTTCCGCTAGCATTATGTTTATTGTTCCAATGATGTTGGGTTTTTACATGTTCGCAGAGGCTTAGTGTGAACTTGCCAAACTCTATAAGATGTAGAGTTGATATAAAGACGATAAAATGATAGTGGTCAGTGGATGCATGTTGTCAAAATCTGTTACATGCATTCTTAACGCAAAATCAACTTGTCATGTCAAATAGAAAACCCAAAAACTTATTCATTATTATACATAGTGTTGTTTTGACATTTTACACACAAACCTATATCACATGTATGAATTTTTATCATACCTCTAAAATTAAGTTGACTTTTGATAGTTTTTTTTCTAGATTTTGACTTGAATTTACTTTACCTTATTTATGTCAAAATCTAAACAAAAATTTGAAAATAACACTTAACTATACTTATTTTAAAACAGAAAATTATGAAAAAATGATAGAATCTTCACATATTCAAAGCTTATATATGGAATATGTGTTTGTGCATGCGTTTGTGTAATATATATATATATATATATATATAAAACTTTAAAGAGTACAAATCTAACCAACCACTATAAGGTCAGATCTTAGTTGACTTTCCCTCACGTTTTTATCAATCAGAGTCGAGTAGACTTAATGTTCTTCAACTTTTTTAATATGTTCTTCAACTTTACTTCGAGTGTTTTAAATAATTAACCGAAAAGACAATAAATTGAAAAATTCATTTTTCAATTTAGATACGTTCTTATATATGAAACCAATATTTTACAAAAAAAAATATATATATGGGAAAAAAATTTGATTTGCAACGTATCGCACTTTACCTCTCTTTCATCACCATTTATTTTCATTTGCAGACTATGTCAAAGAAATCTCATAAACAAATAAACAATGTTGAAGACTAAAACAAATTCATATTCTAGAATATATTTGAAAATACTATGAACTTTGGTAGAGAAGTAAATAAAATTGAATAAGAAAAAAAAAGGATGAAAAGGTGAGGAAAGGGAAGAGGAGGAAAAGGACAGTGATGGGGAAGGCTTATCTTAGCTAGCTAGAGAAGGTGCATTTTGCCACACCAATCTTTCTTTGTCACTGTTAGTCAACTTCGCACCTCTTTTTTGTTTTCCTCCCTTCATATTTTGATTTTGATTTTGATTTTAATAATATTTGACGTTGATCATCTTGTGTATGTACTTGACAAGAATTAGCTAGACGTGCTTTCAATATAAACGAATCGTCTCGATATATTTCAGTTATTTATCTGCTAAATATATATAGAGATTTCCTACAGGATTTTTTAACCCAATGTTTTCTGATATATGTGATATACTGATATGTATCTAGTACTGTTCATTCATTGTTTTAAGTACTTATGATATGTTTCAGTTATTTGTTCAAAAAGCGTATAGTCAACACAAATCAGTAAAAATAACTGGTTTCATGATTTTGGTTACCTACTTAAAACACACAAATCTATCTCGTTGACTTACCAAATCAAAAGAAATATCATTACTTTTGAAGCCTAACCCATTTTACCTATTTTGGAAAGTTATTTTTCTTCATTCTGTTCTTAATTTTTGGCTTTACGGACTTCCTATCTTGCCCAATGTAGATCCTGTTCGACATGTACATCCACTCACTTATACATATTATATAGCATCCAAAGCGAAATAATTTTAAAAGCCGTGTTGACATATTAACTATATGATTTACCTGACAAGTATAAATGAAATAATCAATCTGAGTTTTCAAAGAGAAATCTTATAGATTAGAGAAAATTAGGGTTGAAACAACTCAACAAGGGATACAAAATTATGTATAATTCAAACTGTTAGAAAAAGATTGTAATGACGGATTTTAACATAAGGTAATATATAGAAAATAGATCAGTTATAAGCTTATCTATACCATGTATACACTATAAACTACTCACGTAGCCATCATTTTAAACTGCATTGCTACGAAAATATCATTCTAGATCTCTGGCAAAAGCTTAGAGGTCCCAGGTTCGAGTAGCGCTTAGGACGAGACCATATAACATGCTTTGGTCTCGGGCCTGAGGGGATGTATGTGTTTCGGCCCAGAACCTCTTTGATTATTAAAAAAAATATATCATTATATATTTATAACCACATAGCCGAATAAACTGGTTGGTAGGATGATGAACGTTCTATTTTCATAAATTTCCATATATTTACATTATTTTGGCCAAAATTTATATTAATCCAAAACAAAACATATAAATAATTGTGTTTTTGTTTTGGCTATTCAAAATTTCTATAGTTGTCCGTTTCTTTGTTGACAAAAATCACTGTCCATACTCCATAGTGGGCTATGTGGAAGAGTGTGGTGGACTAAAACTCGATTCATAATCTTAACTAACATGAAATATCAAAATTGTAAATCGATAGATATTTCTTTACTAAACTGAAAATTATATGATCAAACTGAAATCCAAAATTCTTTTTTTTGAAAACAAAAACGAAGAATCCAAAGTTTGACGTGAATCGATATATGAAAACGAGTGAGTAAAACAACAAATTGGAGAATATATGTGAAAATGGTGGAGAAACTATTGTGCTTGTTGACCTTTTTCTCCTTTCCAAAAGATTAGACAAACGCATAGGAACACATGCACGAGTCCTAATTAACAATTAAAAAAGTAATATATCAAAACAATAAAACAAAATGATGGGATCACTTAAAAAAAAAACATCTAGTCTTTCTTTGATTTGTCATGAAGATACTTTTATTTTTCTTTCAACCAAGAACAAGTAAACCCTACACATTTCATTTTTTTTTTTTTTATCATAAACTCTTTGTGTACTCATTGCCTACATTTATGCTATTATCATTGCTTTTCTATAGGCATGGACTATATATAATTTGCATATTGCCATTCATGGACCCGCTTACCTTTTTATTTTATTTTATGAATGGAATTTTCTTAAGTGTGAGATTGTAGATTCGAATATCAGGATACATGTCTACGGACTTGCATGTGTGGTTATAGCAGCTAAATGTCTTGGAGGCTTGGACATTAAAGACACTTACTAGGTTAAGACAATCGGACATGAAACATATACTCTGTTTGATATACAACATGACCAACACTACAAAATTCCTAGTAATTAAAACCATGAGGTTTCATATAAATATTATACGTTATTTACGTATCATTTAGTGCTAAAAGTGCAAAATATTCCATAGTCACCATGTAGTCGTGGCGGAAAATTCACATGATTATAACAAAGTTCAGTTTTATGAGTGTACTGTGTAATTTTATATGAGTGAGTTTTATTTCACATAGAATTATTTATTTAGTTTCACTACTAATTAGAATTTAAATATTAAAATATTTCCTTTATTCTATCATCGTTTTCCTGAACCGTTGACCTTCTTCATGAATCTACAACTAGTAGTTAAAATTGTTGGCTGTCAAAATAACCAAAGTGGGTTACTGAAGAGAAGATAGAGAGAAACTTGCGAAAGTATATATAAAACCAATAATTTGCTCCAGTGGTGATAAAAAACAATAATGAATTATTGAAAACAAAAACAACAATTCTTATTGGATCGTCAAAACTCGAAACTAGTTATGAACCAACCAAAGCATGAAACGTTTAGTATTTTAGGGTACATATATAATGCAAGAAAGACGTTTCCAAAAAAAAAAAAAAAAAAAAAAAAAAAAATATATATATATATAATGCAAGAAAGTTTACCACGAAATAGAAAAAGTCTTGGTAACCATCGATTGATGTATAGATATAGCTTTTGCATGACCTTTCCCATCAACTTGTGGGCGATATTGCCCTTAAGGATACACAAAAATGTCTTTCTGTTTAGTCCCCATAGTACTACATCTATCCACTGTAGGACTCGAGATCCTATATGTCCTCGTAACGATTGCGAATTATTACTTTTGTCTCCTCATTATGTGGGACAATGCAGTGTAGAAAATATATACTTTTTTTTTTTTTTTTTTTTTTTTAGTTTTGGAATGTCTCTAATATGTTTATATGAAATAAAAAGAGAATCATTCATTTATAAGAAATATGAAGCTAAAAAGAAAAAAAATAAAAAAAAAATGAAGCTATCTATATTTTATTTCGATGATTGTGAAGGACCTACAGAGCCGATCTTGTACATGGAAAAAGATGCTCTCGTTGGACCTTTTACCCCATACATAAAAGAAAATTATATAAATTGGCTCAGAGAAGTGATCTCCAAAGGAAAAAAATTTCTTCAAATACATTTATCAAACGTACCAATATGTATATAAAAATATGGGATGATTATAAAAATATGGAAGAAATAGGATTTTCCCTTCATTCAAGGGAAATAAGGAGGATGATCCTATATTCTCATCTAAGTTGATGCAGTTCTTTTTGTGTATACAAAAGAATAATTAATTAAACAAAATCATTCTAGTTTAATCTTGGCTTGGTTCAATTGGACTAGAGTTAGATAAATCTAATCAATATCATTTCTAGTAGTATCTAATATGTGTGTTAAGGTTTTTTGCTAGAAAAAGATGGAGAGTGGGATGATTATGTGTCCTAATTAAGGATAAAAATGTGGCTTTGACAGGAACATTAGAAGTTGTTTGATCATAGTGAATGAGAAATGATATATATGTATCTAATGATGAGTAGGCAGATTTAGTGACTGACTAAAACGTGTTCCTACAATATATGCAGTAATCCTACTATTCGAATGTCGTTTTTGGAATGTAATTATGAAGCATAAAGTAACAATTATATATAAACAATAATACTTATCTAATTCACCTTAAGGGGTAGACTCATTTGAGATATTTCTTTCGTTATGTTACCTAATTCGTTTTGATTCCCTAAACAATTCTGGCTAACCTGGAGTATCTGTTAATGGATTGAAACGGTTCGATCTAATTCAAATTCAGAGCTAGCAAATAGCAATAATATTTATAGTGTTTGCTGTTGTTGGTCTTGGTCTTGGTTTATTATCCGGACTAAAAAATACCCATCTAATGTGAACATGTATTTGAGCTTTGATTAATTAGTGTTGATTAAGTAAATGATTAATTAGGTAATAAAGTAGATTTGTGCTGCTCACATGGTTTTGCGTGAAATAATGCTTTTAACCATCTTTTTGTCTCTCCTACATTTCCATCTAAAAAGCTAAGTCGTGTCTTTCCTTTAGTTTTTATTTTTATTTTTTCTCTCCACTGTTCATATTTTGTTTTTTGTTTTAATAAATTTCCATGGCTCTTTTGCAGTTAAGAATGTTGCACGAGATATTATTTATCTACAAATTTAAAATAATTTTGATTCTTGTTTTTAAGGGATTTTTAGAAATGATTATTGCTTCCATATTTATCAGAAACAAAATGGTTTTTGGTATTATTCTATATTTATGTTTCTACTAATATTTACTTAAAATTATATTATATGGTTTAAACATATATCTTTATTAAAAAAATGTAAAGCTGTAAAATGTACAAGTTTAATTTAAAACACTGAAGTGTTAAGAGATGAAAAGAGTAAGCCAATACATAAATCAATAGAATAACATTTTTCTTTAATAAGAGTTATATTGTTACTAGCTCTCTTTATTTGCGTTTATTATTGACATTGCTGCTCAAGAATAACAATTATTGAAGAATTGTTATTTCTTAAATCTAGTTGAATTTTTTTATTATCAAAAAACAATTTCAGGCATTCTAAATGAAAAAAAAAGTAAAAAATAATCATCATTTAAAGTATCAACTTCGTATGATACATGTTAAATTCAGTTGTGTTCGGAGAAAATAAAACGAAATAATAACGGGTGAGAGAGTGAGATAGAAACGACGTGAAAACGAAAGGCTATATGAGATTCCTTTTTATTATAGTCAGTCAAAAGAAGTCAACGGTTAAGTCAGTTGACCATCGATGACGATCAGTGACCTCAGCTTCTCCTTGCTCTGTTTAAATAGAAACCCAACCACTTGGAGTTTCACTCACACACACACACACACACACAAACAAAACACAAAGAAACATAAACACACGCACCACAAGAAAACCAAAACCCGCCATGTGTGGACACGTAAGCTCTTCCATCACTTCCGGCGACAATTGTCCATGTTTCCTATACTCTGAAAACATAGTTGCTCCTCCTCAGCTACATGATCATGATCATCATCACAATCATCACTTCCACCCTCCTCCGTCTCTGCCGCTTCTTATGATGAGCCACAACTCTCTGTTCCCTGCCGAGGCGGTTTCAGGGTTCGGTTACTTTGATTCCGGCATAAACGGTGGTGGCGGAAGCAGTAGTTGCGACTCACCAAGCTCTATGGGAAGCGGTGGAGAGAGTCTTGTTATGCAGAGGAGTGTTAGTAGCCATAATGGCTTTTCCGGTACTTTTGCGCCGGCCCACGATTTCGTTAACGATGATGATGGGCCAGTGAGACGGGCCCTTAGCGCCGGAGATCTACCCGTAAGTTAATATTATATACACACACTTGCATGACCTAAACTGATATAGACGTATTAGTTAGCTCCGGCTGCGTTTTTTTTTTTTGGTTATGATGATTAGACATATATGATATATCCCCAACATGAATTGATACGTTGAGGAATTATTTAGCATCCTATACAAAGTATATCATGACACAAAACGACACTGTGTTTTGGTTTGTGTGTAGAGAAGTAGCAGAAGAGAGAGCAGTGCGGTGTGGAGTGAGAGCAATGCAATAATAGAAGGAATGAGCAAAGCCTATAAGTACAGCCCCGAAGAGAAGAAAGAAAAGATCGAGAAATATCGTAGCAAAAGAAACCTTAGGAATTTCAACAAGAGGATTAAGGTAATTTTTATATGTTTTCTACATTTGTTTCTATGTTAATTTTCCTCTAAATAAATTTATTTTATTTCTTGCATATATGAATTGTATATTTTTGATTCATATTGGTCTTCAACACATAGAGTACATATGTGATATGTATACCTAAACTAGATTACATATTCAACGTGTATATAATATATATAAGTGTCGCATGGAAACTTTTTAAGACTTGACATGCTAGTGTAGTTGTATGACACAGTGACATGCACCTGCACACTTATTGATGCTAACCCTTCCATTTTCTAATCAAACGTATTGTTTCCTATAATTGTCTCCGTTAATATCACCTGTCAATTATGTATCACTCATACAAAAGCATTTGGGGATGCGCATATATCTATTTTCATAAAACCAACTTTATTTATATAACTTGTTTTTCAAAACAATAATCAAAAATATCACGTTTAATACAAAATAAAATTGTTCGTTGACCAAACTAGAAAAGAAAAAATAAAACTGGCTCAATGCATCATATCAATCACTCTTATCACTAAAAAAGTAACATTGAATTTTTCTTTTTAATCTTATCTTCGAACAAGAAAATAGAATTTTCATTTGATATATATATATATATGAGTATGTGAAAGAGAATTAATGTTCTGTCACATCAGATTTGGGTCTAAGGAATCTTTTGAGATAGACACATCAAAGCTCCAAGGTTAGGTTGCTATAAGTTTATTTCTCCATTAGTTATTCATTTAGATGATAATGTAAAAAAAAAAACATTTCCCAATTAGAGATAATTGGAGTATTCGTATATATGGTATACAAACACATTAAACCGTGTCCCAGTTAGATGTTTTCTGTTACAAGTTTGTAAATTGTAAATGATCTAACTATAACATTAATTTGGGACGAGTTTAATGATAATTTTTTTTTTTGGGGTGTAATTAGTATGAGTGCAGGAAGACATTAGCGGACAGTAGGCCAAGGATAAGAGGAAGATTTGCAAGAAACGATGAGATGTCACAACAAGAACAAGTTGATGTTATGGAAGCCGTGGTTGGAGATGCTGACACGTGGGCATCTTTTCTTGATTCTTTCTCCGCTAATCACTTCCTTAACTAATCCCCTTCTAATTATGTATTTACATATGTTTGTTTTTCTTTACTTACTTATGTTTATATGGCACTTCAATTTGTTTTTGGTTTAAATGATTGCCCCCATGTTGCTAAACTCATGTAGGTTTTGTGTTTTCTTTGTATATAATAATAACAACATATTTTGTACTTTTGATTGGAGATATTTGCAAAATACTCGATCTTCACTGACCCGACAATTTTAAACTAGTGGTATATTGGATCGGAGCTTTGACAATATTGTTGGCATGGCATAGAGAGTTCGATCCCAAGTTCTCTAATTGAGATAAATTGGGGTTGTAGTTAGGTTATAACCAAAACGATATTCACCTCGAACATGGTCTAGTTGAAATGCAATATCGTATTATTTCGATAAAAAATTCGTAATGTGAGTTATAGAGGACAAAACACAAAAGAATCAAAAAGTAATAATCGAACTCAAACTAAAACAAAATTTTCTTGGCATATCATTATTACTAACATGGACCCGGTAAATAGTTTATATATAGTTAAGTATGTTCCTTAATGGTCATAAATTTTATTTTAACCAAGTTGATGATACAAAAGTATTTTAGAAAGTACAAAGATGATAACTTTTTAGCATTAAAAAAACATATAATGAACATGGCCATGTTACTCTGATGATTTCATTACCCTCACGTTGATTACACATCGTGCTACTAAGTAGTAAGTACTAGCAATCTCCAAAAAGCAAACATATATTATAACCTTAGACATGCTTAAGATATCAAAGAAGGTTCCACTCAAGTAAACTAAACTAAAGTAATCAACCGAGACAACACACACTAGATATATATATATATATTTTGTAAGAAAAACAAAAAATTTCCAATCACGTAATTAGTAAAAACGTAAAGAATAATGGTCCTTAATTACATTTAAATAAAGTTTTTAAGTATAGTTTTGAAAAAGGTAAAGAGAGCATTCTTTCTTCTTTAGCAAAGGCTATAGAAGGAAGTTGTAGGCCCGCCGGCGATAATGTCTCCGACTTTTGTCGGCCGGCGGTAGATTTACCGACTCTCCACTCTTATTAAACATTGTTTTGTTTCACTTTTTATTATTTATTTTAATTTAAATGCTTTATTTTTTCTTGAAGACGAGTACACAAAGAATCAACGCTTGAGAATAAATTAGATTCTTTCTTTTTTTCCCCACTTTTTTTATAATCGGTTCAACACAAAGAGAACCACGAGACTTGCGTGGGGTTTAAATTAAGAGAATGCACAAAACTTATCTATGGTTTTAAAGTAAATTGATCAAGCTCTTCCATGTTTTCTTTTCCAAACTGATCTGTTTGAATCTTGATTGAAGTAGAAATGGCCTAACAGGCAGTAGTTGCGGTAATCTAACTCTACTCCTCTTAGATTGCGTCTTACCTACATTATGTGTTGAGGTTACATTAGACTGAATCCTATAGTCCAAACTTGTGTTAGGTTAGGTTTGTAAATGAGGAAATTCAAACGAAAGTATCACCAGAAGAAAGTAATTCAACCCTGAAAGCATCTTTGTGGAACCGTTTTTTCTTTAAAACCTTGGCTATCGTATTCCTGGAAGCGATTCAAAATCCATCCTCAGTGACATAAATGTACGCTTAGCTAAATCACATAACACAATTGCTGGAAGAATTGGGATACATACCTACAATTTATTGAAATGGCAGCTCTGGCTCTTTCAGTAGAGAGTCCAAGCAAGGACATGAGATTTATGACATCGTTTGGACCTCTAATTTCTGTGACTGAAGGAGCCACCACTTGATATAATCAGATTCTTCCCCCTAGTCCAATCCACCAGTAACTACTAACTAGAAATACCCCATATCACAAGACAATGTATAAGCAAGTTCACCGTCACATTACAAATACAACAAATATACAATGTGATACTTGAGCCTAATTAATCAAAATATCTCACCTTATCATTCGATATAACTTGTCTCCTTGTTTGTGCATCCATTAGGAGAAGATCAGAGTATTTGATTTCAAAGTAAATACCTCGCTGCCCATTAGAAAATTCATCAAGTTGAAGCAAAGAAAAAACAATGAGATAACACACAACTTCTTCTTAAATAAAACAATGTCTAAACTAAAAATAAGAGAATAACAAACCTTAATAGCAGCTTGAACCATTGGATGCTTCAATCGGAATAACATCTTGTCTGTGAAATCAATCGAAATCATATCAACCTAGAAAAAGAAACAAGTTAAACTCAGACTGAAACTTGATGAAACCGCTCGATTCGACTCTGTTTTTTTTTTTTTTTTTTTTTTTTTTTACTTTGCTTTTGAATTTGACAATTGAAGAGATGTGTTAACTCGTGCGCTGTAAACCCAAATCTTCCACCATTGACACTTCGCTGAAGCTAATTTGGCATGGGCTTTCAATTCGTAACAAAATACTAATGAAAATGTCCAAACTTCTGAGTCCAATATACCATAACCAGGCCCAATAAGAATATGTACCGTCCGCAGTAGTATCACGAAGACAAAACGTCAGGTTCAAGTTTTGAATAAAGTAGCAGCTTTTTACAAAATTTACTCCATTGCGCGTAAACTTTACTTTTCCCTCCATTTATGGTATTGGGTTTAATACATTTTCTCTTTGCCACGAGTGACAATGATGTCTTGATCCATAACAGATAATGATATCTCAAGAGTAGCTCTGATGAATCAAATTTTTTTTTTCTTTCCAATTTCTACAATTAGATATAAAATTGTCGTATTGCATAACAAATTTTGAAAAACAAAAAAAAAACCACTACATTATTATTAAAATAAATCGTTCTTATTACGAATCTACTCAACCGCAACAACAATGACGTAAATTTTCTTTTAGAACTAAACAAGGGGCAGATGAGAGACACGTGTCTTTATCAATGCGACACGTCATCACCAGTAATTAGGCTATAACGACGTCGTTTTTGGATAATGATCTATGGCATCACTATGACTCAGCAAGCAGCAATCTATCCTCTTTTCTCCTCTCCTGTCTTTACTTCCAAAAGTTTGTAATACATTTTTTTAAAATTTAGTTTGTGATTCATCATTTAATAATAAACTAGATTTGGACCCGCGCTACAGCGCGGGGGAATGTTTTCGAGTTTATTTTATTTTTAACGTGTTTTATCATATGTGTAATTTTGTGTATTCATCATTTGTGTATGTAGGGTCTACATAATATTTTTTTGGAAAAAGTGTCTATTCGAAAATGAATAAATTATTTAAATAAAAAAATAAAATAACGTGTATACAAAAATTACATACTTACAATGTTTGTTATGGCGAACCAACCCGCAAAGACCCGTCTATTTTAAAAAGAATCATGAAAAATGACTAATAATGAAAAAATAGAAGCATAATTAAATATATATAATTGAATCATGACATATAATGAGTATAATTGAAAAATAAGAAATTTTAAATTCTTATATAATATGAGTGTACAAATTAGCTTCTAAATTTAAAATACAGTTATGGCATAATTTTTTTTTTTTATGATAACAATCGTAATAACTATATTACGTTGATTCATAACTTCTTGTTTTGGTTGGTATACTAATATTGTTAGTATTGTATACTATACCGTTTATACTCTAACTATTCAAATACAGTTATGGCATAATATAGTATACCTTATTTTAAAGTTATCCATATTACGATTTACTAAATTGAAGGCATGTCGTTGTGTTTGGTAAATGTCCGTGGAAGGCCCAAAATTGAGGCCCATTTTAGATTATTAGCATTGGTGTCCGATTAAACATCACTAATTTCGAACAAATATTAAGGAAAGGATCCGAATAGTAAATCGGGTTAATTTCTTAACAAAAACCGACCCGAGAAATTTTTTGTACTTCTCTTTTACTATATAGGGGATTTAAATCCACAGACCCCATTCATTCATTGATTTATATATTTTAAAAAAAGAAGGAAGCAATCATTATCTAATCTCTCTCCCAAAGCACATTTAATCATATACATTAATTTATACATTAAATTCACACTTTACTACTAAAATGTAACTGAAAGTTATATAAATTTTCAATTGACTATTGATTTTCTTTATTGAATTTCAATTAAACACACTATATATTATAATTATGACTCTTCTAATTTAATTATTTTCAAAATGTAACTTACATCACTTCTTATCCTATAAATAACCATTCTCACATCCTCCTCCACCATATCTCATATCTTAATTATTTTCTTTGTTTTTTAAAAAGTTCTTGCATGGGTTGACAACTAAATTAAGATATCATTGTAAGAGTTTGATTAATTATTTGGTTTAAACTTTTGTTTTCAATTTTATTTCTTCTTTGTTTATATGTATTTCTTCATTTTTATAACTTTTTAAATGTATAATACATATGTATAATAATATTTTATGGCTATAAGAAAGCTATTTTATTGATGGGATTCAAATAATTTGATTCCCGACCATTGCACAATAATAAAATCAAGCTAAAGAAACCATCTTCATTCTTTAACTTTAGATGTTTTTTTCTTTTTCACATATTCATGTATATTTATTTTAATTTTAAAATTATGTAATTTTTTAACAAAATAAATTTTTGTTATATAATTATGAAAAAATTGTAATACAATTAAATTGTAATAATAATCATTATATTACGTTCGTGATTCAACATTTAATAAGATAATGATCATTATAAATTTTATTAACTTTGAATTTTATTGGTCCATTAGGTAATGCAATATTTAATTATATTTAAACCAAAAAACACATTTAATCTACATTTTTATACATTAAATTCACACTTTATTACTAATAAAACAAGTTCAAGAAATATGTCTGTATGATTATATTGTATGATTTGAATAAAAGTAGCGCTCTGATATGGCAATGGATTTCATGAATGCATCAATCTCAAGGTCTGGCTTAATTCCCGCTTCTCTGTCCCTCCTTGAGAGCTCAGTCGGCAGGTGGTATCGAGTCCCAACACCTAGACATCTCCCCGAAAAATCTATAGTCTCTCTCACATTTTGATTACCTAGGAAATAAAAAATGATTTTTAATAAACTTTGATTGCACTTCATATGATTTTATAGGAAATATATATAATTTGTTACTTTCAACATAGTTTAGATTTAATTACTAAATAATTTAGGTTATGTGTGAGTTTATATGAAAAAAATATATTAAATAGTATATTACAAAATATTATCGTTTGGGATTCAAAATCATAGTAAGTTTATATTTTTATCATTAGCAATATTATTGTTTTACCTAAAAATGCTCAAAAGTACTGGAATAAAATTACTACAAAAATTGAACAATAAATCAGTGAATAAACTCAAGAGATATAGATGTATTCTCTTACTGTATGATTTAAATAAATAAAGTGTAAATATTTCATTGATATTAAAATTGATTTATTCTATTTCTATAATTATTAAATAAATTTAAACTAATTAATTTAATATACAACAATCTGTGCATGCGCATGACATTACCTAGATTTGAGTGTAAATAAGCTTACATACATATTTGGATAAATTAAAAAATTTGAGTATTTTTTGATAAAGTTTGAAAATGGGGTAAATTTTAAAAGTGGTGTTTTACCAAAAAAT